CCCACGGTTCCCCGGGACATGCCTGTGTCTTCGCTCTGGTGACTTTTATAAACATTTATACTCAATTTCACTGGATGTAAATCAAGCGGTGGACGCGGATGGGGTACGAGGAGCCCTGAGCTCTTCCTGTAAATGTGTGTACATTTTCTCTGGTTAAGTGCTGAAGTCACACCCCCGAGAGTGAGAAGAATAACAGCACAGCCACGGTGAGAAGCCCTTTTCTGCTTTTCATCAAAACACTGTGTCACACACATTTTCAGAAACAAGAGAAGCTAAAACATCACTGTACTCGACCCTTCTGGATGGTCCTGGGCCCCATTTTTATAGTTTAGGCTTTCTGAATGTGAACTGTTTTCACGAGTGATACCCCTTCCCCCACCCCCAAATTAAGGACAGCAGAAATCATTATAGCTAGCATTTATGGGGTTCTTACCATGTGCTGGGCTCCTACCGATACAGGGTGCAGCCAAGAGGGGGGCCCCAAAAAGGAATTTGGAATAGGGTCCGGAACTCAAGGTGTCCAGGAAATAGTAATATGTCCTCACCCCTTCCCCCCACAGGTGTGAGTTGGGGGAAGGGACACATGGAGCAGGAACATGCTGGGCTGTTTTGTACAGCCACAGCCTTGCAGCTAATCCATGGCATGGTCATTTAACATATCTATAGCCTTTGGCTGGTCACTTGGATATAAGCTTAAATAGCTGTGGCCATGCTTGGAGCCCTGGGGATGGAAGTCACTCCCCCCCAAGATGTAACTGGATGGCAGGTCCCCAAGTTACAGCACCTGCGCCTGCGTGGGAGCTTGGAGACAACTGGCTCCATGCCATGGGGCCATACCTGACCAGATTCATGATGGCAGCCCAGTAAACTTGGAATAATACAGGAATACTGGCAGGTGTAACTGATTGTAGGAGGAGTCAGAAATGGGGGTACAGAGGAGGATTGGCATGGAGATTTAAACCCAGACATGGCAGCTCTTGTAGGAGAACCCCGAGGCTTTGCCAGAGTGAAGACCCTCTCTTGGCTCTGGCTTGGCCAGGAAAAGAGATCCACATGGTTTGGCCAGAGTGCAGACCCCTACAGCTCTGGTAGAAGAGGACCATGTGGCTTTGGGGTGCTCCCTTTGGCCACATGGCCTGGGAAGCAGGAGAGACTCTGCCTGGAAAATAGGTACAAAGAACTCTTGCCAGTAGACTGTGAAAAGGTGTCACATGACTTTGGATTAATTAGAGATCCTGCCTGGACAGGGACACAATGGACAGTGGCAGGAGCCTGGATCCCGGACTTTTGCTTTGTTTCCTGAGTTATGGTACCCTGAATAAGGGCAGGGGGAGAAGGGAGCACTGTGTGCGTAGGTGGATATCCTAAAGGACTCTAATATTTTAATGAAGATGTTAGGTCACTACTTTAAGTCTGTATAGCATTAAATAAACATTTCCTTTCCTTTTCACAAATCTCTGGCATTGAGAGATGCCTTTCTGATTGGCAGCGGACAATCGAGCCCAGTAGGGGGTCCAGACTATATTAGTATACCATCCTTGGGGAGTAGTATACAAACACAGCGGGGGGGGGGAGTCCTGTGTTTGTTCTGTAACACTACTAAGTGCTTTATGTAACCTACAAGGTAGGTGCTATAGTTATTCCCATTTCAAAGAAAAGTGAAAAACGCAAAAGGTGAAGATCTTCATACCTGGCTCGATTCTAGAGCTTATGTGCTTAATCAGAAATAGAAATTATCCATTAAGTCCTCTCCACTTAGAGAGAGTCCACATTTTGTTTGTGCTCTCTTAAAAATGTAGAAATACATACCCATCATTCCACAAATGTTTGGCAAGTGCCCAATGCATGTCATGTCATACATGTGCAAGAAACTAGGGCTGTGGAGTGAAACAGACATGGGCCTTGATTCCTAGAGATTCATCTAACTGGGAGACAGATGTTACATAATAGATGCAGAAATCACTACTGAAGTTCAACTGGGACAAAAAGCCAAGAAGGTATATAGAGTGAGAAGTGAGAGTAGCGGGCATGGGGGTGGGGCTTATGAGGGGTTGGGAGAGCTGGGTCAACTTTGCATTGAATGCTTACCAAAGGCCAGGCATCGTTCTAAGCACTGTGTATACGAGGTCTGTCCAGAAGGTACTCAGCCATGTCATATGAAAAACAGTGACATTTATTGAAGAAGATACAAGATACAAAAGACACTGTACATAGGACAGTGATGCCTCAGACCCCTTCCAAGTAGGCACTTTGGGTCCTCACACAGTTCTCCCAGTTGCCATCAGCTGCCCTGTCATATTTTCCTGAATCTCATTGATGGTCTGAAATCTCTTCCCTTTCAAAGATGACTTTAATTTTCAGAAAAGGCAGACATCCCAGGGCTCCAAATCTGGGCCGTAGAGGGGCTGAGTCACCTGGGTGATTTGATGTTTCACCAAAAACTCTGTACAAAATGTGATGCATGAGAGGACAGGTTGTGGTGATGAACTGCCGGTCACCAGTTGCCCATCGCTGCGGCCTTCTGAATCATCAGAATAGTTTCCATGGAGGAATGTTCAAGCCTAATGCAAAATTTGACAGAGCTGTTGCTCTCCTCAGTCATTTTGAACACAATGGCCACAGAGTACACGTGCTCACTCAATGGCATCTGCCACCCCCACTGACTAGTACAGCGAAGTCATCAGTGTTCAAACATGCGCACTCCAGTCTCTCTCCATGGCTGCCAGGTTACATCGATGTTGTGCAAACCATTCTCATTACATTGACAGTGGCTGGATGTTTTCTGGACAGACCTCATATGTTTGCTACTTTATGTATGTTCCACTGCAGTCTTTGAGCCAGGTGCTACTGTTGTCTCCATTTGCAAAGGAGCAAACTGAGCACAGATAGGTCAAGTAACCTGCCCAAAGCTGTGCACGAAGATGAGACTTGCCCTGCTAGTGCTAAGGCTAACGAGGGGTTCTGACTGGCTTTCCCAGAGAAAACACCTAAAAACAACCTAAATAAATGTATATATTTTAAAAACTTCTTGAAAACACTTAACAGTTGACATGATGATGAAGAACTAACAGGCTAAAATCTAAGTAAAGGCAGAAACCCAGATAAATAAGCAGAACACGGAGGGTGCTCTTTCACTGAGGATGCTTTCTGAGTTTGAACTTTAGTTGTTGAGGCCTCTTGGATAAAGAGCCACAAAGAACAAAGCCCAGGAGTCTAGTAGAAGACCTTCCATGAATAACCTTGGGACCCTTAATGTCTAATAATGAACCAGAAATAACCTAATCCTCCTACCCTCATCCCCAGGGAAATTCTTCTTGGACCACAGCATATCAGGAGGAATTAAACCTCTGGCCAGAGAAGCTGTAATAGAAAACAAGTCTTCCCATGGATTTGTGGCCCAAATTCTCATTATCTGGTAGACCAGTAAAGCTCAAGCTATGACTTCACCTTAACATTTTCCTAGGCTGTTAATGTCTTCAGGAATCTGACAGGAGCTGATATAAATCTCAGAGAATCAGACTTCCATCCTGGGTACCAAATCATCCCTTTAAATAAATGCCTAAGGAAAATGCATGACTTAGACGGTAATGAATGAATGAATGAATGAATGAATTGTACATTCAAGTAAACTAGATACCATGAACAAGAACCAACAGTGAAAACAGAGGGGAGAACAGGCCTATAAAATTTCAGATGTTAAAATTACCCCCAAAAAGTTATTTTTAAAAGTACCAAACTTACTACATCAAAACCAAATAGACACACTTGAGTATATTGTCAAGGAACAGAAAACAATACCAAAAGCTGAATTACAGATGTTTTAAAAAGTGAGATATACTTGACATATAACATATAACATTAAGGTGCACGGCACATTGATTTAATGCATTTACGTTGCAATACGATTGCTGTTGTGCTATCTAACACAATAGTCACATAAATTTTATAATTTCCTCTGGTGGTGGGAAAAATTAACATAAAAGATTTTAAAGCTAAAACTTACATAAATAAAAAATTCAACGATTGCAATAAAAACTCAATGGACCCTTAATCATTACATTAGGCATGTCTAAAGAGAGAATTAGTGAACTGGAAGACAAATCTGGAGAAAGTAGGCAGAAATTAGCACAGAGAGAGATGGGAAATAGAAATGAGAAATGAAAAGATACAGAAGACAGAGTTAACAGGTCTCACGGAGTGTCAGGAGTGGAGAGTGAGACTGGGGCTACAATACGGAAGCTTGATCTTATCTTGAGAGCAATAAGAAACCACTGAAAAACTTTAAGTAGAGCATTGAGTAAGGTTGTTAGGAAACGTGATGCTTATTCATTGCTCAATTTCAGGGGCAAAGGAGCTGAAATGTAGCTGCTGTTCTATTCACGAGGACACGTGCCCAGGGAGGCACTGCTACTGCCCAAGGAAAGGGGAGCATTTCTCTGATTCCCACAGAGACCCTGCCCGGCTGTGACACAGTGGGTGTCTGGCTTTTCTCTTGGAGAAAATGGCTTCCTCAAAGAAAAGTGGTACCAGATCAGTTTTCCCATCATTTCTGCAGAGGTCAGGTTTCCAGACTTTTCTTCTCCTTACGTGGCCAAAGGTCACATTATTAAGAAATAATTAGCACACAGCCATATTATTTGTTTCGTGTGAAATTGATTAAAACCCACTTTTGTCCTTAATCAGACTCTGCCTTATGCAGAGTTCTGCAATTGTCTTCTTTCTCAGCTGTCTGCGTTCTCTTCTCACCCCACCTGTATACACTTTGGAGTGGGAAAGGGAACTTCATCTTCTCGGGCATCTTGCTGGAGTATGTAAGGCAATATGGGCCTTGCTTTGCACTCTGAAGCGTGTAACCTGTTGTCTCTGACTACGATATCCAAAAGATCATCACTGTCCCTGACCCTGTGTGTTCCCTGAAATTCCTGCTGAAAGAGCAGTTTGGTATTTCATCAGCTCACACATCATATTCCATGTGTTTTGCTGAATGAGAGATGGTGGTTAATGGCTCAACCTGACATATGACGAAAGAGGAACTATTGGGGTGGAGGTAGTTTATAACCCTTACAGGAGGAATCAGTGGTAGGAAATAAAGACATTAATGTGTTGCTGATCGTATGGAAGGAAAGTACAGCAGGAAGTTGAAGTTCGTTCTGCTGTCTATCAGGAGAGAGAAGCTGAGATCCAGGTAAGGAGTTGGATGGTAAGTCAGCAGGAATGGCATTAAACCTGCGAAGTCCTGGGTCTTGGAGAAGGAGTCAGAGAAACGCCTGCTGAGCTAGGCCAACCCGAGAGAACCCACACTACCCCGAGCATCCAAATCATCCAGGCCACGCTCCTGGGAAAAATCTGGGGCGGGGGTGGCGGGGGACATCTGATCATAAGATCGAAAAGACTGCAAGCATTTGCATGTCAGGAAAGAAAAAAATCTTATTTACAGCAAATCAGGAGAAATTTATAGCTTCTTCTGGGAACTGCAGGGAAGAGAGATGTTTCAAATGAAAAAGGGATGGTGAATTGAATTAATTACACAGCACCCATTAGTACTAATTAAAGATGTGTAATGCATCATTGGTATTTTCTTATTTCAAATGTCTCAGCTGCTTGTTTTCTCTCTCTGAACACAGAAAATATTAATCAAGGCTTCTACGGAATCACTTTAAATTTTGGAATCCAATTCTCCTCTTACTATGTAGCTGAAAGTGCTTAACCTCCTAATCTCCCATTTATGGGGAAATCCTGACCCTTATTCTTATAGCTGGAGTTTCATTGTATTTATGTTTTTAAAGAAAAGCTGGTTAAATCCATCGCTAAGATATTTGTAAGTAGGTTCATCTGTCCCCATCGGTCACTCCACTTCCCCAAAAACAACAGAAGGATAAGCTGAACCTACAACTATTGGGTCCTGTTACAAGTGACAGAGAAAAAATGCTGAGCAAGACACAGACTTGTTCTTTTAAGAGCTACAGCTCTGAAAGGGAAATAGACACAAATAAGCCCCATAATTCAACATGGTACATTTCAAACAGATGATCATGTAATGTATAGATGGAGCACAGTGGAAAGAGTAATTCATTCACTTTTAAAGTATTTACTTGCACACAGATATTTATAGCAGCTTTATTCCTATTTGCCGAAATTTGGAACCAAGAGGTCCCTTCAGTAGGGGAATGGATAAAAAGGGGTACGTTCAATGGGATGTTATGCAGCACTAAAAAGAAGCAAGCTACGAAGCTTTGAAAAGACCTGGAGGAAACTTACATGCGTAGTACTAGGTGAAAGAAGCCAATCTGAAAAGGCCACATACTGTGAGACTCCAAACACACGACACTCTAGAAAAGGCGAGACCAGGGAGGCGGGACACAGATGAGTGCTTCCCAGGGTTTTGTGGGGAGGGAGGGATGAACAGGCAGAGCACAGAGCGTTTTTAGAGCAGTAAAACTACTCAGTGGGATAATATAAAAGTGGATTCGTGTTGTCATAAACTTGTCCAAACCCATAGAAAGTACAACACCAAGAGTGAACCTCATGTAAACTGGACTTCGGTTTACAAACGTGTGTCACTGCAGGTTCACAGGCCATAACACATGTTCCACTTTGGTGGGGGACACTGGCGAGTGTTGGAGTCTGTGTGTTTGTGGGGAGGGGTATATGGAAAATCTCTGGACCTTCCTCTCAATTTTGCCATGAACCTAAAACCGCTCTCAACAGTTTTTTAAATTGAATTTTTAGAAGTTTATTAAGTATGCACTGTATCCAGTGAGGCGCCTAACAAATCCAGTGCCTAACAAAACACTATGTTAGGCATTGAGGAATAAGAAACAAAAAATGCTCGTACCCTTTCTCTGGGTGGAGGTGGGAGCAAACTTGGGAAGAAAAAAAGGTTGAGGGTCTTCAGAAGGGGTAACAGCCATGACTGTCACTATGTAAAATCTCCTAACAGAGACCCCACCATCCAGGCCCAGCAGTGAGGGAGAAGAACTGAGGGAGGTGTGCCCACTGCCAGTCGGTTCGGTCCAGAGAAACCTCTGGCCCCAGGGGCTGGGATGTGTTGGGTCAGCCGGTTATTTTCCTCCTGATGTCCCAGAACACTCTGCAAGAACACGAATTAGGTTCACTTTCATCAGAGGTCACTGGCAGGGTTTCCAGCAAATGTTTAACCAGCAGGTTTGCATTTTAGCAGCAATGCAGTTGCCATAACCCCTCCCTGCCATCAGATTTGCTGATCAGAGGTCAATAGTAGTTTGAGGATAGTTATTGATTGATGGAGTCAAATATTCCTTGGTCCTGGCCAAACACTGATTCCGTTCCTCATCCAGAATAACTGATATAATGTAGTTACTACCTGGAGACAGGGATTCTTCTCAGAATTATTATATAATAGAATTGTTAACACAGTGTGTATGGTGCTGATTTCTGACTTCATTCAACTCCCAGATTAGTCACCTTTCAAAGAACATGTTAACTTTGCCACCATCCCAGGCAGTGTTTACTCTGGGATCCACGATGTGTCAAAACTGCCAAGGCGGAGCTGGAAGCCTGCAGGTTAAAGAGGCTTTGGACGGGGAGGAGCTGGAGGAATGCAGCGAGGAAATGGTAAAGTCACATGCTTGACGTCCAAGGGCAACACTTTGGCTTTGGAAACCTGACTCAGGATTCCTGGCGAAGCCCATACGGGCCTGCCTCTCAGGATTTTTTCAGGAGGAGGAGACTTCGGCGGCTCCAGTCAATGAACTGTGCAGTGCAGACAATTTCTTCCCAGAGATGAGGAGTAAAAGGGAGTAAGATGTGTGATCTGCGTTTTTATTAATAGCATCCACTGAGCACACCAAATGTGTGACATGCGTGTCACTCAAATCTCTTCACTCAAACTATCCTTCCAAATTTAGATGGAAAAAAGAAGTTTTCTGCCAGAAGCTCATGACAACCAAAGCCTCGGTTTATACCAGAGGAAGCTGATCCTCAGAAAGGTTAGGTTTTTTGCGAAGGCCACACATGCAACAATAGAGCACTGAGCTGCAAGACCTCCCAGCTGGTCCACCCACCGTGTAGCCCTGGCTGCTGCCCGCTGCTGAGCTCACGAATGAAGGACTGCAGACTGCTGCTTCTCAAACTGCACCTGCCTGCATGTCCCTGGGGGGTCTCGTGAAAATGAAGATTCGATTCAGCAAGGCTGGGGTAGATCGAGATTCGCATTTCTGACAAGCTCGTGGAGGTGCCGAGCTGTTGTGTGTGACCACGATGAGTTCTCAGGCTGTAGATGGTCGTGTGGTCTGTACACTGCCGTCCCCAGCGCATTATCGTCATCATAGGCAGCGCCTTTTTCTAGCTCCTCAGGTATGGATTTTGAACTAGTTGTAGTATTATATCAAGTGTTGAACCTGCTGCATGCTTGTGTTCTGCGATAATCTTTAAGAGATTCATTTATAGAATAGCCTCTTAGGGAGATTTTTAAAGCAACTTTAGGGAATTTCTCCTCTAGTATCATTCCTGCCCACTGTTGAGACATGTCACCATGTACCAGAGCTAAGGACCAAAATGCAGCAGCTGAAGGCAGAACACTGTCCTGGTGTAAGCACAACATTGAGGGACAAAAGTCTTAAATATGTTCTGGGTCAACACTGAGATGAGTTTTCTAGAGAGGCAGCAGAGCGGAAGTGGTTGTGAACTTGGACTCAAAAACTCCTGGATTCCAGTGTTCTCTGCCTCTCCCCTGTAGCCAGATTTTGAAAGGGAGTGGTCAATCCGGAAGGTCCCAAAAGTTCTAAAGTTTTATGGTTGGTTGGCTGGTGAGGAATAGCATTTTTTTTCTAGATTGCTTGCCAAAAAAATATGATGGAAATTTTTACCAAGGAAATAGCCAACCTTCCATTTGTATAACAGGAAGATTTTGACCAAAAGGACTGGCTATATAAACCGAGTAGTGGCTTCTCTCAGCTTGCTTGTTGCTATAGCAGAAAGAATTGTGGATTAGGAGACAAGAGACAGGCTGTGTGATATCGGACAAGTTACTTCACCTCTCTGAGTCTCGGCGGCATGGTCTGCAGAATGATGGGATCAGCATTCTCAGTCCATTTTGGTGCTAATCCATATCATAAATGGAAACCATTGCAAAATTTCACCTTTACCCGTTATGAAGGAAGCGGGTTCCTGATCACACCCTCTCTCTCTCTGGATGGAACAAATATAAACTCCTGAAGAACGTGTCTTTTCCTCTTCCCTTCCCTCCACTCTCCTTTGAATAGTTGGTGCAGTGAATGAATGAAAATACATGAATGACTGGACAAATGGATGATTGCTACCACAGGACAACGCACTGAGGTCAGTGCTGTCTTCGAGAATCTTCAGGAGCTGTGAGTCAGGACTCCAGGGGATGGCACAGGAGCTGTTGACCGGAGAGGCAGTAAAAGGCAGTTTGGGTCCCTGAACTCTTTTTTTTTAAAGTTTTTTTAATTTATTAATCTTAGAGAGAGAAAAACATTGATTTGTTGTTCCATCTTTTTATGCCTTCCTGACCCAGGATCAAACCTGCAACCTTGGCATATCGGGCTGATGCTCCAACCAGCTGAGCTATCTGGCCAGGGCCAGGTCATGGACTCTCAAAGTGTTACTTTGGATGCAAGATGAGGCAGGAAAGGGTGCTATTAGTAATGCTGCTATAATGTTAAGGGCTCCAAGAGGGGGAAAAATTAGCAAATTTGGGATCCTCATTAGTATTTATTTCAATCCCTAATTTTAATTTGAATTGGGAGTTAGGTTTAATCAGAAGTGTTTTCACAGGGAACCAAACCTGTGAAATTAGAACACATGTGGCTGCCAAGCTTGGTTTCAAGAGAAAAATTCAATCTTGCAGGGAGGCTATGAACATTTGGGAATTGTGGGCAGATATAATTAACAGCATCATAGGGGTTAGAGCAGGAAAGATCCTCTGTCCCACCCACTGTTTGTGGAGAAAGGAAGAGGAAATTTGCACCCGCAGCGAGTGATGCCAATGCCGGGCCCTCGGGCACGTGTTCTCATTCAGGGGCCTGGGGGGCGCCAGGGACCTGCCACTTACCCAGCTGCCTGGGGGATTCGTAGACACTGTCAGGTATGAGAGTCTAGCTTTGAACAATTATCAGTCGTTCACACATTCATGTGGATAGATTTCAATTTATTTTCTTACCATCGACTGTATTTATTTAAGAGGAAGAAGCAGAACCTGTGGTTAAATACAGGTGAGTATTTTGTAATGGTTCTGGTGAGAGATACGTTTAGAAAAAAACTGCACAGATGGGAAGGTGGAATGCATCGGGGAAAACCTCTTTATTACCGCTTTGTTAAAGATTAGCTTTGATTTAAAAAAATTTTTGAAAAGCTCAGAATGAAAACATCCTTTTAGAGGTGTTTCCCAACAAGGAGGAAATAGAAATGCTCTTTAAGCCACCTCACCAGTTCAACTAGAACCGGCTTCCCCTGGGGACTGGGAGGGGGGAGGGAGACCCCGGGAGACACTTTACAAAGCCGAACCTTCCACAGAGCTAGCGAATCTGTGAGCACAGCCAACTCCCCCCCTGCCCCCCGCAGCCTGTCTCTCTTTCCATTTTCCTCCCACTCCTGGGGAGACAGTCCTACCAGGAAGAAATTTATCAGGCATCCGGCCGCCTTCTTAGAATCACTCTGTTTCCTGATGCAAAAGATGGTTGTGATCGTTAGGTTGATACACAGACACCTTTCCAGGGTGGACTTTCCTACAATTGGCAGTAGCTTATACACAGGGTCCTTGGGAGAGCTGAGGAATTCATGCATTTTGTACGAATGAGCCAAGTCCCTCCCTTGGGACAAGCACTACTCAAGGAATAGAGCAGACATGAAATGCAATGTCTCTGTTCACTAAAAGTTTATAGTCCTGTCAGCGAGATAAAACAGACACATGGAAAACTAAGGGGAATATCATTCATTTAACAAGCTCCTACGCAGCGCTAACGGAGTCCAACTTCCAAATTCAGCTCCAGTGAAAAGTCCCGTTGGAAAAATTTTTTCCCAGATTATGTTCATAATTTTTTTCCATTTGGCTCTTAATGTGTAGCAGCCCTCCTTGATGCCATATCCTGGTAAGCAAATTGTAGACAAAGGGAGAGGAAATAAGTGTATTTTGCACGTGGGAGGCGTGGGAATTGTTGTGGCCAGAGGGCAAACAACAGACTGTATCTTATAAAGACAGCCGCCCAACAGCTATGCATACCCGCATGCTTTTCTCGTAACGTGACCACTACTCCTTCCTCTGAGGAGCGGGCTTGGCATTCTTCCCCCTGAACCTAGGCAGGAGCTGACATTGGCCTCCAGCTGACAGTCTGCCAGAAGCCCCGCCTGTCAGTCTTACAGCGCAAGCGCGTGAATTCTGCCAAGTACTTGACTGAGTTTACAGGCTTATTTCCCCCAAGCTGAGCTGCCAAATGAGAGTGCGTACAGCCCAGCCAACACTTTAATTGCAGCCTTGTGAGACCTCAAGTGGAGGACCCAGTGAAGTCGTGTCCAGACTCCTGACCAGCAGGACCTGAGACTAATGTATGCTGCTTAAGTCACTAACTTTGAGGTACTCTGCTGTGCCGCAACAGGTAACAACGCACCTGGGTACACTGAAGTCACTGTGCTGGAGAGATCCCACAGAAAGGCCACAGAGAGCAAGAGACACAGCCCAAGGAGCCCTCGCTACCCCTGCCCCCGCCCTTTGAGTGTCAGCCAGCGTCAACCACCAGGTATGTAAGGGGGCCCTCAGATGATTCCAGCGCCCACACTTTGAGCCCTCTCAGATGATGCTGAGTTGAGCACAGACAAGCTGTCCCCGTTAAGCCATATCCAAACTAGATTCATGAACAAAATTAAAAACTGTTGTTTAAACCCACCAAATTCGGGGGCCATTTTTTAATACATCCATAGTAACCAGAACAGGTAGAAGCAGTTTCCCAGACTGACTCCCACTTACCTTCCCCTACCTTTTCTGGTATGTTCCCCTGACCTGCTATACCTGCTGATTGTGGCTTCTAGCCTCTTGGTATTGAGTAACCACCACATTCTTGCCTTTTAGCTTCCAGACCTTGGCTACGAGTCCGGCGACTTCCCAGTGTGCCCACATCCTGGATGCTGTTCCCACTTTGATCTACAGACCCCATCTCAGAGCGCAGGCTGGATGGAGACAGACCTACACAGGCAGCCTTCCCTCTTTTGTGCATTTATTGTAACATGTTTACCTGTTTCAATGTCTAGTTGCCCCAGCAGACCATGAGCTCCTCTGGGTCAGCACCTTTGTAATTCTGTGTCTAACTCAGGCTATAGAGGCTTCATTTGTTGAGTGAATGTATCTGTTATTGTTGTGATATGAAAGTTAAAGACCTATATGATAAGCCCTTTGCCCTGTAAGGACTTACCTAGTACTGAAAAATATGGCCCCAATTATAAATGCTGTGATTGGAAAGAAAATATTGGGTTGGCCAAAAATCTTTTTTTTTCCATAAGATGGCCCTAATAGTGCTTACTTGTCTTTAACTTCATTCAAAATGATTTTGTTAGATTGCATTGGAACAGCTGTCATATTAATGAGCATAAAAAATACTTAACCAAAATCATTGAATTTCGGCATAGCCATTTTAATATTGAAGATGGAAGAAAATGTGCAACATTTTTGGCATTTTATGCTTTATTATTTCAAGATGCAACTGAAATGCAAAAGAAGATTTTTGTGGTGTATGGGGGAAGTGCTGTGAGTGATCAAATGTGTCAAAAGTGGTTTGTGCAATTTCATGCTGGAGATTTCTCGCTGGACAATGCTCCACAGTCGGTAGACCAGTTGAAGTTGACAGCGATCAAACTGAGAACAATCAACATTATACCACACAGGAGATACCCAACATACTTAAAATATCCAAATCCATGAAGTTATTGGTAAAAATGAAAAACATGTCTTTCATTTGACGGACAAAGCTAAACAGACTTTTTGGCCAACCCACTAGTATTGGCTTGGAAGACTTCATAGAAGAGAAGAAACTTGAACTTGACATCAAGAAGGAATTTGTTGGATTTGGCTGAGAGCAGAGGAGACAGAGAGGCATTGGAAACTAGGAGAACAGCTCAACAAAATTACACAGGGGCGCAGGGAGGAGACAACTGGCGTTTCAAGGACCTTAAAGAGGTTTTCCCGACAGATCTTTCCTGGGGAGAATCAGGAGGAACAGCCTGTTGCTCCTACTGTCTTTTCATGGCCACTGGGTTTCACAAAGCACTTGCCTATCTGCTTTCCCTGATTCAATAATGTAGATAGGCTGCACACTGAGTACCCAGATTTATTCAGTAGTCAAAAAAATGTGAACCATTGTGTGGGTTATTTATTACTCTACATTGTTAGAGTGCCATGAATTCATTCCATATCAGTCCATACTGGGGGAAACTCCTATTCACCAATAAATAGATTAGTTTGACGTGTGAGGTAAGGTTTATAAATTGTAGAACTGGGACACTTAGATTTCTTAAGTATTGAGACTTGTGAATAAAATGTTGGATACCACAACTAAAGGTTTCCCACACCTCTTGGGACTTAAACTTCACGTAATCCTAGGTATTATAATGTTAATAATTCTGACCTCACCAGAGCTGCTCTTGGTATAATGAGAATAGCAAGTATGTGTGTTAACTTGGAAAAATCTGAGTTGCATAGTTGTTATGGCAACACATTCTAAACAACTTATGTCAGAGGTTTGCCATGACAGAAAAAGGGAAACAAGTCCATCATTACGGAATCGAGATATGTTAAGCTCAGTAACAAAGCAAAACACTTACACAGAAAGAATGACCCAGCCTCATGGTCTGGGGCAGGAAACCATTCACCTGGGTAGGAGGAGCCCAGGAACTGAGTAGAAAGACCTGAGCCAGCTTACCCGAGACAGGGAGACGTGTACTTATATTAGGATGGCAACGGCCAGTCAGGGTAATCAGTCGCTCAGTCAATTTCCCCAAATTAATCTTAAAATCCCAACAGAGATCAGTGTCCTGTCTGGAACCTGACAAGCAAACTCTAACATTTACTTGAAAGAGCAAAGGGCCAAAAAAAAAAGGGGGAAAGAGACAAATCTAGAGAACAAGATGGAATACTCTGCCCTATCTGGTAATGAAGACGTTTACAAGCCAAAGTGATCAATGGAGTGATGTTGGCAGGCACAGGCAAACGGACCAAGGGGACAGAATCAAAAGCACAGAAACTGACACAGAAGTGACAGATGTGACGCGTCAAAGCAACGGGAAAATATTTTTTAAATAAATCAATGGCACTGAAATGTTTGGTTTATTCATCTATAGGAGATGGTAGGAGTAGCTACAAAATGGGGAGAGATGCCGTTTCCAGTTGAAAGATGAACACATAGAGGTTTAATTCCATTACCGAAAGTAATTAAGTTCTGAGTGACTAAATATACAAATGAACAACGGCCAAACCACAGAAGAAACAGTTGACCGAGAACCTACAGCAACCTGCCCAGGAAACCAATCTCTTATCTACAATAAACAACCCAGAAAGCCAGGCTGCTATGAGCCAGACTTGCAGGAAGCCAGACTGTTATCTCCAGTAATAATCCAGGATGCTACACAATAAATTCTGCCACAAGCAGCCCCAAAAGGCCAGGGCTTGATTTAATGACACACAGCTTACCTAATGTCTGTCCCTACTTCCAACTCAAGATCGACCAAAAGTAAGCCAAATGCTTACCCAATCACATAAAACCCTCAGCCAGATGCATAGGATGCCTGCTTCTAGTTGGCCTCCCTGCAGCTTCCCAGGCCAACAGCTCCCAATCAGAGCACATCAAAGCCTTCCCTTTTTCCACTATAAAGCTTTCCGACTCCTCCGTCTGCCTTTGAGCTCCTGCCAAAATGCAAGTGATGGTGCTGACTCCCCTTCTGTAGCAAGCTCAGAATAAATAGCCTTTGCTTTTCTCATTTGGTTGGTCTTCATTTATTTCCACAGTGACTCAAAGAAGGATGAAAAGATAAAAATACAATAAAAATCTGGTGAAAGGGGAGAAGACAAAGTACATTTCTCACCTTCACGGTGAGAGTCAAGAGATACTATGTAAAGTGATAAGTCAGAAAAATAGATAAGTCAAGAAATAGGAGCACATCATATCTAGAGTTACGGAGAGGTACAAGAGCAGGTGGTCAAAAGTCGCCCTCCCGAGGAGGGGTGAGGGGGCACGGGTGCAGGGAGGATGATGTTTTCTTTTTCCTCCTGAGCCTTTTCAGCATTTTAACTTTTGTTTTCATATTGATTCTTTACTTTTCTCATTCAATGCATTTCTGGATTGTTGCCTTTTGCTCCTCTGGATAAGAATCCTACTTTTAAGAGGTAGGTGCACCTGAGGAAGTCAAAATCTTTGGCACTAACCTTGGCAAGGAAGACCCAGGCAATGGGAAAGACAGGAAGAGAGATGGAGGGCAGTCCCAGGGGCTGACCATGGAGGGGGGCCAGTCTGGGAAGCTGTGGGGTGTTGCAGGATGGGTATGGTGTGGGGCAGCCATGGCAGACATGACGGTCATGGTCATGGTTGAGGGACAGCAAGATGTTTAAAGTTTCCTAGTTCACACTTTCCCTGGGGACGTTTGTTATCTAGTCCAGCAAACAGACACACAGGGTGGGACCCACGGCAGTGGCTGTGATGGGAGAAGAAGGGGTAAATCTGCAGAGACAGGTTTGAACTAAGCAGGATCCCATACCAGGCGGCCGAGCAGGAACTGATCTAAAGTTCTTAAACAGACATTTTCTGAGCAGAACGTTAATCCACTTTCACTTACAGTCTAAAATAAAACTGTCTGTTCTACTTTATGGGTTTTTTTAATTGTAATTATTTAAGTGTCTGGTTATTTCCCTTTTATATAATTCGTGGGGGTGGGGTGGATGATGAATACTTCAGTAATGTCTGAAATGTTCCTTGCAGCTCTAAGTTAATAATTGAGTTGGTGTCAAGAGCTGACTGAGAAGGGGGAGGTCATAAAAGGCTGCTGTATTATTTAAGAAGCCATACAGCTTGCTCCTACCCGTGAACACTAAAGAAAGGACAGAGTGTGGGCACACTGTTATCTTTAAACACCCACTAAGTGGATGCTTGGTACAGCCCCTATGAGGTGGTGCTGAAAACTCCATGCAAACATTCACCCTGAGGGAAAGTTCCCGCATACCAGTGCAGCAAACTGTTGGCACCGACTCAAAACTAAGACTTTATTTTTAGCATTTGGTATGGAGCTGCGAAGGACCAATGCTTCCGGCCTATACGATTCTTCAATGAAGATTCGTGCAAACATGTGCTCAGCCCTGCCACTATCACCCATCAGAATGCCGAGATGCCCGTGCCAAGACCAGCTCACCACCCCTTTCCACCTCCTGTGGCTGTACTGATGCTCTGGTGTCCACTTTCCCATCTGACTGTAAGAATCCTGGCAGGTTGGCTTGCCCTGGCTCTGGGGGTGTCTGCTGCGGCCATTGCCAACTCCTACCAAGTTTATTGAGAACACAGCTATTTCACCAGGTGCATGGTAGAAAGAGGACTGGTTCGGTTACCAGCTCACTGGGATCCTCGCTGGTAGAACTCTACCGGGACTTCCTGCTCTCTCTGCACCATCCTGCCCACAGGTGCTTCCCTAGGTGTGCTTTACCATTTACTGCGACATCGCAGATGTCACTGAAGTGTAGACTCCTGAGGTGGGGAGAAACTGAATCAAACTTATACGAATAAGAGCTAAGGCTGAGTGCTACGTGGAAGCGTAGAGTCTTGCCTTTTTGGTCAGATGTGGGGGTTCAGAACATTTGTTGACTTTGCTGCCCAGCAAGAATCCTTCCTTTTGATAATATTGTCTTTCTGTGTGCTATTTTTCATTTTCTTCACAACAACCAGAATCTGTGCCGAATTTCTAAAGATAAAAGTGAAACACAAGGCAACACCTGCTGTCTTTGAAAAGGCAGGTGAGGAAGTCATGGTGAACAGGCAAAGTGGGACAGGGACTGATTTTGATCCTTAGAGGTTGTTGGCGGCCTTCAAGAGAACGATTTCAGTTTGCTTCTGTTTAGTAGTTAAAAATCCCTGTTCTCCTCTTCCACCTTCCCTCCCCTGCACTGTTTACCCAATTAGCTTCCTTAGCACAGCCTGCCTGTGTAGACGAGTTGATTAATTTCTACCCAGTTACACAGTTCTAGTCTGAATGAATAAGGATATATATATCTATATCTATATATATGTATATAAATTTTATTATTATTATCTTATCCTCATCTGAGAACACTTTTAAAATTTCTTTTAGAGATAGTGGAAGGGAGAGGGAGGAACATCAATGTGAGAGAGAAGCATCAGTTAGTTGCCTCCCATACGCACCTGGATCGGGAACTGTACGTGCCTGGACCAGCGATTGAACCCCTAGCCCAGGTATGTGCTCCTACTGGGAGTCCAACCTGCAACCTTTTGATAACAGGACAACACTTCAATCAACTGAGCCACACTGGCCAGGGCTATAAAGTTTTTTTGTTTTGTTTTTATTTTTGTTTTGGCAGAGAGAAAGTACATATAACTCAAACCAGTGTTTTTAAAAGCTCTAATTTATCGGAAAGCCTAGGATGGCAGGAAACATCAGAGAATGACAGCCTCATTTCGCAGATGGACTTGAACTTACTGCTGCACAGGGACAGATCTTACTCAGATAAAATTATACTCTCTGCTCTTTCTAGATGGCTTCTCCAACAGAGATCATAACACAAGAGTCAGGAATAAAAGCCTGGACTCTCATTTCCCATAATGGCAGAAGTGGCTAAAATCCCCCGTCACTCAAGCTGGTCTAGCATAAGAGCTCCAGAGGCTTGCTTTTTGCTGAAGCACACCCACGTTCCTAGGGTGCTGAGCACATTAGCTTTGTAGTAACAGAGGTCAGAACATGCTACACCGAAATATGGCAGCTGGCATCCTGAATATTTTAAGCTGAAGGAATTTGAGAACTGGCAGTTGCAGGACAGACTCTGTGTCCTTCTCCTGAAGCAGGTCCTGGTACCATCAGATGAGCGTGCCCTCCCTGTACCCGGAGGAGGGCGCATCCTCATGTTCAAGAAGGCAGGACCCCCAGGGAAATCCAAATGAAACAGGAGAGGAGAGAATTCCTGGCAGAGCTGAGGTTTCCATCAGGGTTCGTATGTGTGTGTGTGTGTGTGGGGGGTTCTTTGTTTGTTTGTTTGTTTTTGTTTTTTAGGATTCGGCTCAAATAAATGCATAAAAATACTTTACAGGTTTAAACATTTCTCGTGTTGACAAAATGATTTTGGTCATTTTGAAACTTTGAGTAAATACATATCAGGAATGAGTATGAAGTTTTTAAGGTTCTCTTATTTATATCACTGAACATATTTCATAATGTGATAAGATATATTTGGCAAGTATTTTCTATGAAGGGCAAAAATTGTAAATGTTCAAGAAAGCTGTTCATGCACACTTTCAAAATTAAACAATCACCAATTAAGGATTATGAGCTGTCCTTAGATATTCTACATGCTTTGTCTTTGAAATGGAAATTTCCTATAACTTTACTCTCAAGCTTCTGGAGGACTTTATTTAAGTATATCCTGAGAGTCAAGACAAGCTGTTCAGTTATTACTATTTGCAAGAACTTAACTGAATTTGACTTTTCTTGATACTAAACAACAACAAAAGAGCCAGAAATAAATAGTATACTGATTCAGACTGTATTCATTGTTTCCAGAAACAAAATCAAGGTTGGCTATCCTTGGCTGAAGGCAATCATGTGGCTCTGTTAGAATAAGGAGGAGCACATTGCTCCTTTTGTTTCCATAGAGATAAAGTAACCAGCACCCATCAATTATATACAACAGAGACACCCCATGGAAGGTGAGTTACTATTAGAAGGAAGAGAGGGTGGAATGATGCTGGACTTCCCAAAATGACAATTGTCCACTACAGAGGGTGGGTCTGATAAAAGACCAAAACTGTTAACCATAACTCCCAAGTTCAAAGTTGTGTATTTATTGAGGTCACCTAACTAGGACCTAGATCTTGATCTCTGATACCACAAAACTGTCTCCATGAAGAAAAAACCGACTCCAAGGCTACAGCAAGATAAGTACAAGACAGGCGAGGACCAGGGCTGCTCCTAGGTCTGTGGGACACCCGGCAAATCACTTCCACGAGCTCTCTGTTTTAATTTTTTTATTAGAAAATGTATTACAAAATTCATGAGACCGTGTAAGGTACAGGGCTGATCCATGAACATGCAGACAAACTGACAGAGAAGAGGTTGTTATATACGTGTTAATTGTTCAAACAATATACATGAAGGCGGTTCCCGGCATCCAGGCATCATCTTTCCTGTTCTTCATCGTCAAAAGCCCTATCCTCGGCTAAATCTGTATTTCTTACTATGAGATAAAAGGTAGCTCTTCAGAACCTGTTCTTGTTGAAATAATCTAGAGTTTCCTTTTTTAAAAAAATTGGTTTGAGAGAGACAGAGACATTGATTTGTTGTTCCACTTATTCGTGCATTTATTAGTTGATTCTTGTATGTGCCCTGACTGGGGATCAGATCCACAACCTTGGTGTATCTGGACGATGCTCTCACCAACTACCCAGACAGGGAATACAGATTTTCTTGCCTCTGCAGTTGTCTAATGCCATTTTCTCATGCTGCAACATCCACTGAGCAGACCATGAATGCTGATTTCCAATGACTCAATGGGCGATTGCTACTGTGCTCTGTTGATGATACTCACAATGCCTAAGGTGTGCAGGAAAATATAACCTGTTTGTTGTTTACTAGATATGTTAAATTTCATATTCTAAGTTTTATGGTCTAAATGTGGAATAATATTTCTTCCACCTATGTCATCTCTTCAGCGCCTTAGATCCTTAATTGCTGCATTTCTGGAATTTGCTC